TTTGTTTTTGGAAAATCCCTCCATGTATATCTATTTGTGTTATGATGTGACTGACTCTTCTTTTCGATATTTCGGTACTCTGTTTGATTCCACTTCGTGATTTTATCATTTGTTTCTTGTTATTATTTCTATATCTTGTACTTATATTGAAGTTTCCATGTTTCCTTCTGAACTATACATATGTTGTTTACAATTGATATTTAATATGGCTACAGCCATATTTGGATTTGATACTCTAGCAGTAACTGACTGGAAGCACTTATTCTTCCAGCAACGGAACCTATTGAGGTAATTGGAAACTCGAAGGTGTAATATTGTTTGGGTAATTGTCTGTATTTCCCTTTTTATGGTTAAACAGAACGTTCTCTCAGAGAATTATCGTTTTTGGACTTGGACTGGGTGGGACGCGTATGAACCTAGACTTTTTGAGTTAAAAGCGAACTGTAAGAGTAATTACAAATTAACATTATGTACAGTCAAGATTTCTTACGTTTTTCTGAGAACCTTCGAGACTGTATTCCGTAGTCAGGAGAGTACCAATGGTAAACGTTGCCAGGTGTTATGCAGTGTGATTTCCAAAACATGTAGAAGCACTTAGAGCACCACCAATATTTGATTGTATTTTAATGAATTTAAGAGTATTGATAGGGAGATTTCTGTTAGTCAAGTTACATGAATGAATCGTTCAGCTAATAAAGTCTCGGAAGTACTGAGTTTGTTTTTGTCAAACATTAAAATGAGGTGTGGCACAAGCATTTAATTTATGGTACTACCCTCGTCACTTGTAAGCAATAGGATAAGATAAAGACAATTTAAACTTTAAAATAATTAGCGAAATCCGTGGTGTCATTCACTCAGACAAAAATACTTCGAATGAATAATAAAGACAATGACAAAGCCTGTGTAACATTTGCAGAGAATTTTCCCGAAACTCATATCCCTATGTTCTGTTCCTTTAGATAAAACGGTGCGAATTTGATCAGTCGGGATCCAGGTATTGGGCAGGTGAGCAGTTATCGAAGTATAACCTTCGGGTGTCTTATTATATTTTTGTGGCACTGATGATTTGTCAATGAGATAAACCTTCTTATATTTCGGTAGTAATCTTTGTCAGCTTTGATCTAACTCATAAACAATAGTCTCTTCCATTTCATTCCTAGACACTGAGGTGACCACGGATCTCTTGAAAAATGTGAGGAGATAAGCTGTGTGTGAAGTTTCAGAGATGCTTAGCTCATTTTGAAGCGGGATTGTTGTGAACGTCAGTATTTTATTCTTTCTTACCATAGACTAAAGGTTGAATTAATTATACAGCTTATATTACTAAGAAAAGACTGTAGAGTTAATGACACCTCCCTTTTTATTTCATTTACATTAAGATGGCTTGGAGTGTACAGAATATAAGTCCATAAAGCAAGGATAAGCAAGGTCTTCGTGGAACACAGGTTTCCCAACAGAGCAATAAACTTTTGAGTCCAAATATATCAAAATTCAGTTACCATCTTCAATCAACTGATTCTATAGAAGACCAAATACCTAAATAAGCATAATCAGAAGAGAAAAATATTAGCCTCAGCCAGTTTATTGTGAAACCTATTTTTAACCAGTTAGTCCGTTGTTATCGAATGTGTATACGTCTTGGCTTTTCAAAGAAAAAAACATGATCTATCCGCCCCAACGTTGAAAGACAGGTCGTGCGCATCCAATCTTCTCATTGTGTAAGACAGCTGAACAACCTGCCGGGACCGGAAAATGTCGATTCACATCTGAAATCCCTTCGACATAGCACGAGGCACTCCTAACAGAGGTGGCGAAAATGGGCCACAATGACCTACTCATATCGTAGCTGAGGAACTACTATGAGAATTGAAAGTTACTTAACTAGGTAAATAAATTGTACGCGAGTTGGCGAGTTTCAAAACCAAGCATCTCACATGGGGTCATGCTAGCTCAACAGCACTGAGCTACGCAGACGATGTAAAGTTCTGGAGGTCCATGCGAAGAGAAGAGGATTCGACTAAGCTTCCAAAAGACCCTACTACTATTGAGGAATGGACAGTGAAAAGTGATTCAAAACTAAACCAGTCGCAATGTCACGTTATGAAGGTTCTGCCCAATGTAATGCGTGACTTATACCTTCAATGGAAGTCCGCTTCCTCGTAATACGCGATCTCCGACTAATTACCACTGCAAGCCTAGACACTTGCCTGATGATAAGCTGTCATCGGAATTCATTACTTCACGTGGTGCCCCTCGGGAATGCCCACTCTTTCCAGTCTTGTTTAACTTTGTCGTGGACATGCTTTTAAAGTAAACATTATCTTCGTCAGACTTTTCATAGGTGGACCTTTTAAAAGGAGACTCGCTTATTGACTTAGAATATGCCGATAACAGAGCTCTATTTGGCGAAGACGCTGATAAAATTCAGTGCTCCTGACTACCCTTAGCAAAAATGCAGTCATGTTCGGGATGCGGTTTCCCCATCGAAATGCAAAATGTTGCTTCAGGATCGGTTTGCGACTTCACCGGACTTAGTGATAAGAAGTGAAGTAGTCGAACGTGTAGACCGCTTCGCGTATCTGGGGAGTCTCATCAGTACTGATGGCCTGATGACTGATGAAAGCTCAGCCCGGTTATAGATGTTTCGATTGGCTTTTGTTAACTTTCGTCATTTACGGAAAAGGCGAGATATTTGTCTACCAACGAAAGGATGAGTGTAATGCGCCGCAGTTCTCTCGATCCTACTATATGGATGCGAAAGATGGCCTGTAAGAGTAGATGACAATCGAAGTTATTAGTATTTGATTACTGATTTCTCTGAAATATTGCTGGTGTATCCTGGGACATTCCAGTAAGTAATGCTGTCTTAAGGTATCGAGTACTCGGTGGGGATGGCAAATCGGTAGACGAAGTACTGAAACCACACTAGTTGAAGTGGTTTGGACATGTGTTACGTGTCCCGAACTGCCAACTGCCTCGACGAGCTATGTTTTGTGGTGTAGGAACAGGTTGGAAGAAGGCTAGGGGCAGCAAAACCAAAACATGGCAGAAATCCATGAAGTCACTGACGAATGGACAAGAGCTAACAACCAGGTTCGTGCAAGCTTTTTTTTTAAGCGCTGTTGCAACTTGGAATGCTCTCTCAACCGAGGTGATTACAGACCCCTCAGTGGATAGCTTCAAGAAGAGACTTGGTAAAAACATACATCCGGATTATCATTTACCTCATGGAGCAGAGTCACCTGATGCATGTCTTGCCATTTCCTCAGGTTAAAAACTTATTACACCTCTTTTCTTATTTCTAATTCCTTTCCATCGCTTACACTTCGGTCCTGTTTTACAATTTTTACTATTAATTAATTAACTTATTCATCCATTTATCTAAGTAGTTTTTAAATCTTATTAGCATTGGAATTTTCCCTTTATCATTATCTGCACTTCAGCTAACCGATCACTGGTCCGGTTATGTGAAAGCTGATGGTATCCAGAAACCTTAATTCCCTGAAACAAACCACGGGGCACAAACTCTCAAACAAGTGCCAACTTACTAGAATTAGTACAGCCAAGCGGATATACCACCATCCTTATGACACTATCAAGTACCTGAAACTACACAGAAATAACAAGAGTGGAGCGCAAAAAATCAAACGAATTACACTAGCTCGTGCAAAACATATTGGATTCTGTCTGACTAGAAATGTTTGGTGTTTGAATACGGTTGTCATAACCACACTGATAGCGGTGTGTTCGAACATTGTGTAACAAACTGTATTTAAACGGATATGATGTGATGACTTAATAACAATTAGTACTCATCAAAGTCATAAAAAACACCTGTGCACGTATTTGTTGCTCTTCATTGTTGTTTCACATGATACTGTGTCAACCTGAGTAAAATAATCGTCTTACGTCTGTCATAATAAGTTCAATCCTATTCATTTTTTTTACACATCTGAGCTCAGCTGTTAACAATCTTGCATAGACTACGTTTTTTGGAATATCATGAGGCGTTGCCAAGGACATTTCCCCAAGACGTCTCGTTAACTAACTTTAAGGATACCCATTCAATGTCATTGAGTAAACCCCAAAATTTCTTTCTACCTTTGAAACATCTCTAAAATCTCAAACGTTTTGCTCATATCATATGTATAAAGTTGATTACTGCCCAGACTTCAATTCTCAGATTATTCGAACACTTAAGGCAAATATACAGCCATTTTGAAATCTTTGCTGAGTTCGAGAAGCACAGTATCTGGCGAAGGTTTTTATTTGTGGTACATGTAAATTATTTTTAAGTCCTACACGAAAAATTGTTTAATGATACACGGTTACTAAAAATCTCTACTAATAGTTTTCCTAAATAGTCATGAATGGATTGATCTGCCCAAGCAATAGAAACCATAAATTTTAGACGTAGAAAGGTTCGAATATCTACCCAACGAAATAAATTTAAATACTTCACATGACTATTGCTATTTTTACCCGATCGATAGCCTTCTAACTTGTAAATTGTCTATAGATTCCAACAATTTCTTGAAACAACCCTGAAGAAAAAAGGAAGTATGAAGTACTGTATTCTAAAAGTGAAGAAAATAAAAAAAAAATGAAAATCGTACAGAGATCGAATCTCCTATCAATCAAAACCTTTTAAGATTACTGGATCTATGACACCTGTAATAAGTTATAAACAAAATTTGAATACAAATAAATATTATTTTGTAAACCTAACGGTTGATAGTAAGAAATATGTGGAATAAGTAGCATCTTCATTGGATTCAACAGTCATTTGAACTGTCTTTTACACAAATTTAATTTCTTTATTGATACGTCTAGCGATTGCCTAATGTTTTATATCACTGGTTTTGTGGGAATTTAACAATTTAGAAATCTGTGCTTAAAAATAGTTATTTAGTGCTTTCGAAATGCGATCATATATTAATGTATATAACAAAGTAATCTACTGTTTGAATATTGTCTCATATTTTTAAATGTACAGATATATGGATAAGCCGTATGACGAAACGGTTGACGTGCCAGATTCCGAAGATATAGCGACACCACGACTGCAACAGTCTATTGCTGAGAATCTTGATAGATTTCGAGGTAATTTTAGACGATATATGAGCATACTATATTTTATCGCTGGATAAATTCTCCGTATTATTTGTTTTTTGAGTAAATGAACGAATTGAACGAACAAGTTCTTGGTAGAAAACAGAAAAGCTTGAAAGAATTATGGTAGGTTGAGGAAAGTTCAACTGTAAACAGGGAACAATAGCTCTTTGTAAATTTGTTAGGAGTCTGTTGGTGGACTACGAGGGCCACAATGATAACGTAATCATTGTACAACAATCACGCTAACATCATGTCCAAAATATTGGAAACGTGAGGCTTATTCTCTTTATTAATCGCTAATTCAAAACCGATTTGATTACCAGTGAAGCGAACTTGAGAAAAACAAATGAAGGAATGACGCATCTAAAGTGTATAAACTTTGGCGACTTTCAGCGATGTTGTGTATTTTAAAATCGAGAACAGGGCTACCATATTAACACAGATAAATACTGTCTTGTAAAAGTTAAGATCTGTCAGCCCTTAATACCGTAAAATAGAGTTTATGTGGTCTTAATTCTCAAATCAACTAAATACAATCCAGAATGCGATTAATTTAATCCTAGTAAGGTTCTAATATAAGGGAAAAAAGCGTGATAATCACCAGCTAATTCTTCGGTTTCGTTCTCATCATTTTCTGATTTGAACCCGGGATACATTTCTTAAGCTTAGCTTTAATGTGAAAATGTACACATATATTTTAATAATAAAATTAAATTTTCCGGAACTTTTGTTGATCCAACTCAAACCTAACCTTATTAGCCCAAGTTCAAGTGATAAGAAAGAGAAAGTATTTTATAAAGGTATTTCGAACTGTATCTCGTATCTTGTATCCATCTCCACATAGCATTATTCAACTAGCTGTTAACAATTCCTTGATCCAAGTGTAAGTACGTAAATAGGCTTTATCATCAGTTTACTTCACGTAATACAAGTATTGATATAAGTGTAAGTCTAACTTAATGAGCATTATTTTAACATTGTTTTCAGTAAAAAAGTGTACTTGTTTAATATCTATTCATATAGTTGGTTCTTGTCTCAAGCATATATTTACTTTCTTCTTACTCTCATTTCCTTTATGCAACCTTCAATACACTTCAGTAATCAAAATAAGAATAATAAGCAGTGAGATATGAATAGACAAAATATAAAACACTGACAATAGTCTAATATATTTTTCAAGCCAAGGGCTAATTCCTTAGTAGGTTCAGCAGTCTTCAAACACTTTATGAAGATAAGATGTTAATGTAATCTGTTTGTTGTTTGTTTTTTATCTACCAATAGCTGTAGACTAATGATAAATTTAATAATACCGCCTATCTGTAAGAAATGTCAGTAGAAAAACAAAATGAAATTGAACTAAAATGTTGAACAGCTGTTCGAATTTGAAAGATTTATTACAGCATATGAGTAAAATATCTTTTAAGACATAATACATGAATCTTAAGCTTGTTGATCAAATTAATAAATTCAGGTGACAATTTTATCTTTCATGACTGTTTCATTAATTTTAACATTCAATGAAAATATTTGAAAAATCATCACGTTATATTTACAAATATTTGAAATAGTTGATTCATTAACTTATATTTCCTGTCCATTTCGAGTAGTTATTCAAAAAAAATATATATGGTGAATTATGAGTTCCATAAATCAGATTTTAACTCTATGCCTAAATAGTAATGTATAAACCTTAAAACTTGGAATTCCTGTGAAAATTTCTTCTCATAAACTAATTATTACATATCGGTAGAAAATAAACCTGACGAATACAATTTAATGATATGTGAACAGATTAGTTCTGTTAAGATAAAATTCCCTCTCATCTAGAAATCATTTTATCTTTAGGTCGTTTTTCATATCATCTATGTTGTCTTACGATTCACTAATTGTGGAGTGAATTCTTGAAAATTCGACGAAGTGATGTATCAGACCACAAAATAACAATCATACAAAGAAAATTTCTGATTATTTAAGGTAATATTTATTCAACACAAGAATCCCAGTCACTTAACAGTGTAGTTATGGTAAGATATAATTGAAATTATAAGATAAGAGAAGAAATTCTTATTAAATATTATTTCAGAATGAATATGCATCATACCTAGTAAGATATTGATGGGATTTCATTTTACATTGCAAAATTCACTCCAATAGAGTATTTCTTCAGTTTTAAGCACTGCATAAACGATATTTTTGTAACACGCGTAATCAGCAGTCACTGAAGGGCAGAGAGGATCTAAAATCACAACACACAAGGTTAGTTCAACACCTTACACCAAGAGAGAACACGAATTTGTTGTCACGGCACTCTTTCATTTGAAAATCGAATACGCGGGGTTTTTTACAGGAATAGGGTGGGTAGTGTACCAATGTCTTATGAGTCATCTTGTAGGTTTAGAGTACTCAGGGCTTGCTCTTCATCTTCCAAAGCACTTGTGTTTGATCGCCCTGAAACAGAAAGAAAACAGAACAAGTTAGCAACATCATACATAGTGACTTTGACTCCGTTACATTTTTACTGATACTTTATTATAATGTAGTTTGACTACAATTTATTCGCCTAATCTGTTTTGATGCCTTTTTAAAAATCTAATTACTTATATAGACTCTCATGAAGAGATTAGTAAAGCATTAAGAAAATCAGCGAATGAATTATCAAATAAATCTATTAAAGTAAGCCATATTGTTTTCCCTATTCTCGTCGATTAATTTGATGAAATGATGTAAATTTTAATTGCTTGACATTATCAGTGTTGATGATTACTTTGTAAGTGAAACATTTTTTTCGTATTGATTGGTAACATTTTTGTATTGAATATGACTGTTTGGTAGAGATTTTGTGGATTTTCTAGTCAATTTTCATTGTCCTGACGGAAATATTTTTAAAAAAATTGAGTAGCGTACAAGTGTTTCATGTATAATTAGTAGTAACTGGCTGAAAGACAGATTCTCACTAAGTTCTGATAAGTTGTAATGTATAGTGAGAATTAAATCAGGAATATACCTAATCCACAGATAACTTTGGATGACGATCATATTTTATTAAAAACTAACTGAAATTAAGCGCGTGGAACAAGGAATACTTAAATGATCGACGAAACCTGTAAATCAGCTAAACGATTCCAATCGCATTTAGTACTCTGAGCTCTATAGTTTGGTTAATTTTGTTCCAGACAACATCATTACTGCCCAATTCCAACTCAGCAATCTAGCTTCAGTCATTCAAATGCAACACAGAACTTGGTACGTACTTACATCAGTCCGAGTCACCATACCACATTTCAAATTTCAAAGTGGCTCAGTCCACTTGTCAATATTTTTGACTCTACTGAGAAACTAGTTGCATCAGTTGCCTGCTTCTGGTGTGATCACGACTAGTTTGGAGTTATTAACATTGAATTCAAATAAATGTCAGCAGAGTAACTTTAATTTAATCTTAGGAAGTAATGTAGTCAATGAACTGCGTAAATAGTGGAAATTTACTCATAAAATAAGTAATTAGATTAATTAAATTCCAAATGATGAGTTCTTCAAATATAACTATTAACAAGAAGTTGTTATTATCGGATGTTCGACCAAAATGGTATCTAACTAACCTCAGTATTATAGGCCCACTATAGGCTAGGACGCATTCAAACGATTTGAGAATGGGAAAAATACAAGACCATTGGGTTTCATTAAAATCATAAGCCAGTCAATGTTAAACTGCCATTGGAAATCTGGAAGCACTGAACGGCGGTTTATTCCCAGTGTGAGATTCATCAACAGTGCGTTTCACGACCCTAGGAGCAGGAAATAAACTCAGAACCATTGGTCTTGTGTGCGAATGCGTAGCCTCTTGACCATTGGATCAGCCTCTGACGTTGTTAACGTGTAAATTCAGTCACTACCTTGGAAAGTTATCCCTTCTTGAGTGACCTGAAAAAGATATTGTGTTATAGTTACTCTTAGCGACCCAGGAGCCCGATTGCATAACCCAAAGGACAACTGCATGAGGCTGGTTGCGCACAGCATTTTTATGGGGAGTTTTTAACATGTTAGCTCTCTTCTTGTTTAAAAGGCATTACCGCCGAAGACGGAAACCCGTAGGATAAGATGAGATGGGACATTTCTGAGGTTGGTCGACGATGAAATGATTCTTGGTTCTACGTCGTAGAGGACTGTGGGTACGGAGTACCTAAGATCTCTGACCTAGAACAAAACACCTGCTTAGTGCTTCTTAGTTTTCAAAGTTTCTCAAATTGATATTATTTTGTAGTGCGCACTAACTTCAAATCATATTTATCTGCACAAAAAAGTGTAACATGTTATTTGTCCATTTTTCTTACGTTATTAGATTGAACCAAAATCACTCATTGGGAGGAAGTTGAGCAGTAAAAAATTAACTGGTCAAGGTTAGTTTATATATATATATATACATATTTGAAACCATGAACCGATCAATATTAGACCACCATTAGAAACCTAGAAGCACTGGACGGCCGTTTCGTCCTGTTATGGGACTTCTCAGCAGTGCGTATCCACGACTCCTGCACCCCGCAGGATACGAACCCAGGAACTTTTGGTATTGTGCGCGAACGCCTAACCATCGGACCACTGATCGATTCATGGTTTCAAAAAATGTGTAACTTAACAATCTTCACAACCCCGTAATGTATATATATATATATATATATATATATATATATATATATATATATCACTAATTATTCGATCAATTGGAATAATACACAACGATAGAAAATATTTGGCGAATGATGAACTACTAGTTGTTAAAACAACATTGATAATTTGGTAGATAAAACAAGGAACTAAACAATCTTATTTGATTTACCAGGTCAAAGTTCCAGGTGTGTTTCTATTTTCTCATATCAATCAATTACTCCACATGTACATAAAATCAATGTATGAATAAAACAGATTTAAATGTGAGTAATCACCGATATACTTCTGCTACATTGTTTGTAGCAGAAAATTGCTAATTAGTTAAATGCCCAGTTTAGATAGTTTGGTTTCTATCTGAATTGATTCATTTGAATACGGAGTAATTAGAAATGAAGGAAAAAAATATACATTCTCAATATTTACAGTATACTAATAATAATTAATAGTAGAGTTAATACAAAATTAACAGTTAGATTATTGATTGATTAATATGGAATATATTTCGAAATTACAAAATTTACTTCTACAGATTGAAACATAATCCAGTTATCGGAATAAACATTTTTTTTCATTAAAGTATTGTTTTTTATTGATTTTAGATAGTTCTAACGATGACGATGATGATGATGATGAAGAGGAGGAGGAGGAAGAGGAGGATGACGATGAAGACGATGAAGATAACGATGATGAAGGTGACGAAAATGGTAATATGCCTGATGTTATTGAAGGGTATGTTGTTAAATCTTTAAAGTAGGAATATTCCTTTTTAGAGCTACAGTTTTTTGTATGCCAATATCAATAGTTTCATTTGCCTTTTTTCGAAATGTAGACATATTTTTAAGAAACACCAAAGAAAATAAATAAAAGTACAACATCATGCTATCAAAATAAATGATTATCATTTTCACTTGTTTAAGAGTTCATTTTAATAGGAAAACCAAATGAACAGTTGAATATTTAAAGCTTTTTAACTGAAAACTGATTACAATGGATCCATGGCTTATTAGTTAAAAGCTTTTTCATTCCTATTGTTAGGTTAGAAAACTGAATCACACTCCACCTACTTCATCTTAGACAACTGGATAAGTATCACTAGCCTTCGTAAAAATTATTTAACCCAAGGTACATGAATGCATACCTGCTGAGTTGCATTGTTATTAAAATTTATCGAATATGTTAGTCATTTATACCGTTTTCTGCTTCAAAACAAACTCAGACTATCAATTCTTTAATTAAAATTAAATCTTAACGGATCTTTGATTAACTTCTACGTTCCAACTACGCAAAATGTTAGTTATGAATGATAACTATTCAATGGACTATGATTTTCTGTTACGCAATAATAATATTAAATTGAAAATGCCAGAAAATCAAATGATTGTATATTTTTGTTACGAAAACAATAATGCAGTTGATTGAAAAAATATTTTTTTTTCATTGTAAAATAAAACTGCCCGAAAAGTTCGACAAAAATATTGATTAATGACGGTTTTTATTTCTCACTGTCAATGTTACGCCGCAACACAGCTTATCAGTCTCCATTGACACATGCCTCAGTATTTTCATATTGTCACAAGTATTTAATTTATTAAAGTTCGATAATGGCTAGCAGCAGTAGAATCTAGGGACTCATCGACTGGTTTATTGACATTTCAGTGTCAAAATTCACACTGGGGGACTTGAACTCAATACCTTCCTCTTTCAACACTATCACTGTATAGACTGAGATTTTTTGTTTTATTCATGAAAACATAATATTTAGCCAAGCTACCAGTCAGTCAGTTACAACGTAGAATTTCGTACGTAAGTACATCAGTTCATGTTGCCATACCAAATTAGCACAAAGACGCAATTGTCATTTCAAATACCATAATGGTAGAGATAGTAGAAGAATTACGGCTAATGGAGAAAATTAGCCAAACTATCACTATACAATATTATGCAAAAATTGAAATAAACAGAATTTCAAAACACAGATTAAATGTTGTGCCAGAATATTGATAGTTATCTGCATAACATAGGAGAGAAACCATACATTACAACTGACTAAATAATTATTAGTCTATGAAAGTAGTCAATTGAAGTTGACGATAATTTTCCTTTAATCAAATCTTTTTATTTGATCATGTTTTTTTCTTTTTTTTAGCGCATACAATCCAGCCGATTTTGAACATTTAAGTGTATCGTCTGAAATTAAAGAAATATTTGAATATATTCAAAGGTAACTTGTAACAGAAATAGATAATTCCCTTATATATTATGTTAATCTAGATATTGATTGATTTCACATTTTCATATAAATATTCATGTAGATTGGCGTAAAGCCTGATGACGATCTAATTCGAAAACAACACTATTGTTCGCTTATATGTGTTGTTCTTTCAATAGGAACTATGTATTGTATATTTCAATCCTATTCGGTATATTCATTTTTGTTTCATTTCCCAACAACCTTAGATATACACCACAAACAATTGAACTGGAAACTAAATTGAAACCATTCATTCCTGATTATATACCAGCTGTTGGAGATATTGATGCCTTTTTAAAAGTTAGTTTAGTATTTCAGGATAAAATTTTCTTCATAGATTAATGTAATTGTTAATTGTTAAAAAGTTAATTGTTTAAAATCTAATTGGAATAATCTTCACTGTATTTATAATTTATATTATAATAATAATACTGCATAAGGAGATAATGTGTGCAATATTTTGTTTAGTATGCCTTCCATTGAACACAATAACTAGATGATGACAATGACATTCAGAGATGATTCTCAACTGGCGACACAATCACAGTATGAATAAAAATCAAAAGATAATAATTTTTAAATGAACAATTACTATGGGTCGAGTTTCCGTTTAAAGGTGTAAAATAATCAACCAGAATAAAATCCTTCTTTCCTTATGGATTGATTTTAGAAGCATGTAAAATAATACAGTTCTTCATTGCTTTCCACCATTTGTGCATAATCGTGATTCATCATTGCCTTATTGTGCAATGCTAGTTAATATCTTGAAAGTATTATCTGCTTTTTAAATGAAAAGTAAAAATTCATACAACAAGTCATTCAGCTTCATTTGTATTTTTATTGCACACTAAATCTATTTTTAGTTAGTTTGTTCAAAAAAAATTTTCCAATAAATTATAGAAACAATCATCAGTATGAAGTGATTTCTATTTGAATCTATTTAACAATCTGTTAACAGGATAAATTATAATTCCTTATTGTTTTTAATACATTTCTATCAACTAAAAATCATATTTTTTTTAAAAAAAAACAAACTATTAATTGTTATTTTTGAATAAAATTATTTTAATCCTGTTAAATTAGGTGCCTAGACCAGATGGTAAACCAGATTATTTAGGTTTATTAGTTTTGGATGAACCATGTGCTAATCAATCTGATCCAACAGTACTTGATTTACAATTAAGAGCTTTGTCAAAACAAATTGCAATGAAACAAGTTGTAAGTAGTAGTGTGTGCACATTTTATTGTTGTTATTGAATTATATCAGTGTGAATGATATTTAATTATTTTCTTCATGAAATCATGAATCAATCAGTGTTAGACCTCCATTTAAAAACCTGGAAACACTAGATGACTGTTTTGTCCTAGTATGGAACTCCTCAGCAGTGTGTGTCTATGATCCCCGCTCGCTGGAATCGAACCTAGAAGCTTCGATCTCGCGTGCGAATGCCTAACCTGTAGATTTTGTGAGCCAGTATTTAATGATTCATTCATGATTTTAATGAAAAACAACAATCTACATATCTATATTAGGGATATTTTCTCAATATTTGAAATTTCCTATCAGTTAACCGTACAGTTATAATTTGATTTGTAATTTATTGTTTACTTTTTCCAATGTTTACATAATTTAAAGATAGTTTACTCAATAAAATGAAATAAACTTTCTTTTCAACTCAATCTTACTTAGTACTGTCAGCATTTTTCCTGACAAGTGGACTGAGTCATGTTGGTAGATGTAGGCTACGTGGTTGGGGTCCGCGAGACGAAAGTCACCAATCGTTAGAGACCTTGAACGAAATGGCTCAGAATCGTTTGCAATGGCGCAGGTGCATCCACTCTTTGTGTTCTCTGAAATTCAAACCTTCTGAATTCCTCATAATCTATATCTTTCTCCTTCTAAATTTATCTTACTGAATTATACTTATCGAATCATATCTTCACTCCCTAATCTTCTCCATTACTGCTAATACTTTTAATATCGCTATCACTGTTGGATTTGAACTGACAGTTGCGTCTCTGGGGCATGGCAACCTGAACTGATGTACTTATGTACGAAGTTCTGCGTTGTTTCTGTCTTCTGTCTGTCTGCATTTTTCCTTAACGTTCAAAGATTCTAGAAGTGAAAATTTATAATATCATAATCATATAATATGCTTTATGCAATAAGAGGAAGTAGATATTTAAAAATATTTCAAACTACTGAATTCAACTAATGTATCATCAGTGAACCTATCGTAGAATGTTATTTCATTGATGATATCCTTAAACTAGTTCCATTCACGTTTCCATACATAGTTCTATCAGCTAAAATTAGGTCTAAAGAGTTAGTTATAACGACTTCATCTATTTGATAATGCATTAAGTTAATAAACAGAAATTGTATACTTTTATTGCATCCAAGCATATGCTGTTCAGATTTATTTCTTGTCACTAGTCCACCAATCCCCTCCTCGTAAACACCCCTGGAAAAACCGGAAGATTGGGATCAAACCTTGACCAGAATTTTTTTTTCCGCAATAATTGAGATAATAAGAATTTTAGTATATGCTTATTGAAAGCAAACATTTCTACATTGTTCATACATAACTGATCAGTAAAATATCAATAGAAAGCAATAGAAAAAAGACTGAATTTTTCTAATATGCCTATAAAAACAATAGGTACACAAAATCGAACGATCATCACAAAATTCATTTTGTTGATATCCCTATTGGTTTCTTTTTCTAGTCTTCAATGATCTTGTAAGCTTCAATCTTTTAACGATGGAACTGCACTAAAATCAGCCTTTCAATATGACTATCGAAATCTAAAATGAAAATATATTCATTTCTAAGAAATGAAAGGATAAGTAGGAGAAATAGGCATTTTTCCGTTTATCTTTTAGGCATTCATCATCAAACCATGAAACATAAAATCCAATTTAATTTTTATTATTTGATTAACACATTTTCTTTTTTTAAAAAAATTCATACAAATTCTAGACAGTTCGAAGTCTTGAAAACGCTGAACAAAATACAAAAGTCATAGAAAATTGGATTAAAAGTATAACTGATTTGCACAGAGCAAAACCTGCACCGACTGTACATTATACAAGGTGAGTAGATAATACTACTACTGGACTTTAATGTGGACCAATGATCGAGTATGCAATGAAACAAATCTTCCTTTCCACTTCCGTATATTATAATTAGGCTAATCCTGTTTGTGCGATGGCGGTAGTAAGAAGCCAAATAGTTAAGAAAGATATTAGAGGGTGTAGGAAGGATTTGATTTCGACCAATTTGCTTTCGTGTGTTATTACGGGTATGAGAGCGGTTGTCACTTCCCTGCTGCCCACACCGTGGAAGGTTGTTTCTTGAGGAACCTGAAAAGGAAGGTAGATTAGTGTTGGTCTTGGAGACCTGGCAGCGTGACCGCAGAGTCCAAGGGACAACTGCTTGAGGCCGGTCACGCACGGCCATTTTATGAAACATTTTTAGAGTATTAGCTCTGCACTTAAAAGCCCTTAGTGGGCACGCTTACCCAGGGAGACAGAAATCCGTGAGGTAAGGTGAGGTGTGACATTATTAGGGTCGACCTTTTCTAACCCTTCCATCATTGTGAGAAGGCAGCATCGCTGCAGATACTGGTTGTCCGAGGGAAACACCTTACTGCTGTCACACCCCTCTGCACTCAGCAGTACGACTTCTCCCTCAGACCTTGAGTAGCTACTTTTAGTCTCATCGTTCTCCAATCGACCTGCCTGGTATGGTAGAACCTTCAGGAACATATGTTCTAGTCAATATAGCTCGGTTGGGTCATCACGATAGGCAAGCCCGACCACCACGTCAAGGTGGCAGCTTCGGTCGGGAAGAAGCCAAATAAGATGCTGCGGACGAATTTATTTCATGTATTCACTTATGCAGACAAACAAGAAGGGAAAGCGTATAAGAAAAACGAAGCGAATTGGAGAAGGCGAGTGAGCCAACTCTCCATAAGCTGAGCAGTGGCTAAGTATTTATAGTCAAGCGATATTAGGCTAGACATGCGATAAGTGAGTAAGCATCCACACCCAATCAAATATACAATAATCGATACTGTAATCGAATTATTACAAATACAAAATTGTGGTCGATACAATTATCAAATAATTCAAACGACTAATGATTAAAGTACAATCAATGAATTATGAGATGATATATATATATATATATATATATATATATATATATATATATATATATATATATATGTACATATAATCAGTCTGAATGAACATTAAAATTACAGTTTGCTTACAGCAAAGAAAGTAAAACCTGACTGATGTAGACGCTAATGAAAAGTAGTGAATAACTAGGATTGTACGTAATGATATTATGTTAGGTAATCAAAAGCAATTAGCTGGAAATTCAAACATACAAATATAATGTACAGTAAGATGAAGTCGCTTAGACTAGTTACCAAACCTTAACTTTTTCGATATAATTCACACACAATACTACAAACTAAACAAATCTATAGTTAGTTACTACTGAAAGAACTACCAGTGAAAACGTGTTGCGATGTGTAGGAACACAAAAACGAATCACAAACTTCAACACAAGTTGCTTTATTGTTTTACCGACAGACTAGAATTCATATCACATTACATTTTATGCAAATAATGTTTAATGTAGTTCAGATCAGTGAGTGACTATAGATGGACAGCTGATGGAAACCGGGAAAAATTGGATAGATAGTTCTTTCTTGTAAAAAGCTCCTTAGTGGTGCACATCTTCAACTCCAGTAGTTATTGGTTTTTGTACCCACAAATCACGCGCTAAACGATTAGTCTTAATAAGATCAGTGAGTTATAGTATTTGGTGGTTTGCATTTACAACTTCAGTCATCTCACTATGTCAGGCATTTAGTTCATTTAGTTCTCTAGGTAGATAACTGCATCACATCCGACGTAGCTGAACTTCAGTGGTTACAGATTATCACTAAAACTCTTTTAAATTACTTCAGAAATTAGTTACTAGTGAGCATAAAACTATTATCGGCTAGAAATTTAACTAGTAATAGGCTTAATTGTTTTGTTTCGTTTCAACAATAATTTCTAATGTCAATCAAATCAAATAATTTTTGGGCATATTAATAGTTAATCTGTCATTAAACAAGCAATTATTAACAAATATATTATATTGGTATTCTTTTTAGAAAAATTCTAAGCAAAATAGTCGCATAAAACGTATTGTGGAGTTAAACGTATATGAAAGGATATAATTCACAGCATAACATTCAATAAATTATTTCATTAGTTATTTTTTAATGATTTATTGTCTCTATATTTTTTTTTAGAAACATGCCAGAAATATCTGAACTGATGGCCGTATGGCCATCATCTTTTGAAGAAAGTATAAATACTATGCAACTACAAATTTCACAATTGGATTGTAGTTTGAAAGATTATGTAGATATTATTTGTGGTATGTGTAACTGAAATTATGTGTAATGATCATACTTTATGCATATATTTCATGTAGAATTCCTCTAACTTGTTACAAACACAAAGTAATACATTGATAACGGCTGACCATTTCTTTTTAGCCAAACATAATACTTTATTTAAAATACACTGACAGTGATAAATAACCGAATAGAACACTTTAGAATGTATTCAATAAACAAAATCTTTTCAAGACAAGTGACATTTTGTTAACAGCACTAGAAAATAAAACAAATGAAAATCAAAAAGAAACGAAATATATGCAAATAAGCGCAGGTTGTATGAATAGTCAGGGAACAAATGTATATGGCGAAAGAAAATGATGGAGATTTTAAGGAAAAATGAAGTCGAATACAAATATATCTGTATATATAGGTTTTATTTTTGGTTATTTAACATAAACTTTTCAGTCTTTAATAGCTGAAGATCCACGATAAAGATGCACACATGATATTGCAAAGCGTTAACAAAAAATCCACGACGTTACAATTTAGTACTACATCTGTCTCCAGTCACTGTAAATTCCTTCTTACTCTAATCTAATGCGGTTAATATCACATCTTAAGCCAGGCAGTACCACGGTATGCGTAAAATATGTGCAGCACACTGCTGTCATCGTAACCTCAGATCCTCGTGTACAAAGATCATAACATTTCTAGATATTGAGTGTCAATTAAAATCAGTTAAATTATTAGTACCATTCACAACGTATATTCAAATTGGAAATGAGTTTCAACCTCAAACAATCGCGTGTGGTACAGTAATTATGTACACATATGTACAACAAAATTCTTGCTAAATTCATGTACTCATCATGTTGATCAGTTTTACGAATGAAGTGATTTGTTGATCTTGTTAGTTTGTAGAGACTGTTCAGTTTCTTTTTTAAATGACGGAATGAATTTGGCTATTGAACCGTCGAGACTGGAAAAATGCTGGCAGCTGCTTTGTCCTAGTCTATAGCTCCTTAGCGCCACATGTCTAAGAACATCCCACTCATGAATTGAATCCAAAACTGTTAGGTCTTATGGTCATTTGCTTAAACTTATCTGAAATTTAGTCATTTACATTTTTAACTTAAGTCAGTTCATGATAATGCTCAACCAACATCCATTGTTGTTAAAAATATTGGCTGAAAGTCAAACACTCAAAGCATGCCTTGGCCGTCGTAGATTCAATTCATGATAATGTTGTGTACATATGTTCTTCAGGAGACTCTTACTAATCTAAGGTAAGAGGAAGCCGAGACCAGATGGAATAAATATATTTAAAGAAGATATCTTTTACTTACGAAATATATGCACCTAATCTACAGGCATTTACATACAATCCAAGAAGGATATTGACTGTCTTCTCTCATATCTCTTCTGGCCTCCAATATACTCTGATCACGCCGTGCACTCCGATCACCTGATACTCATGTCTCTAGTAGCAACTTCTAAGCGATGCCTAATTACATGCTATTTTCATACCATTTTATTAGTAGCATCTGCTACACTAGGATTAAATCTCGTTGGTTTCAACTGGTCATTCCATGATGTAAACTAGAAGTTAATTGATTTATGGACAGAATCTTCAGTAAGATTAGGTGAACATTAAATTTTTTTGCGAAAATATCCGGGCGAATCCGTATATATCTAGTCCTGTTCGCTGGATACAACAAATATTTCCTTTCAAAAAAATTCGAAAAACTTCACTATATAAAAAATACTCACTTTAAATAAAGAGAATTTTTACGTCGTGATTTGTATGAGAATCGATAATTACTATTTTTATTATGTACATGTTCAAGAGAAGGGATCACAGTAAGTCTCATGGCGCTCCCTTACATTCCCTGTTCGCATGTAGACTACTACACCGCTAATGGAATAAGAGATGAACCTCAGAAAACCACTGAATTTTAACTCAAAGACCTAAACGTTGAGCGCTTACCACTAAAACTGAGTCTCACTGTTGGTGACCTCATGGATGTGCACGTTTGAGGAGGAACGAGGCAGTTTTCCATTGCTTCCTGACTTTCAATGACGGTCTAACTAGGATCAGTTGGTGATATATTAAAAAATGTTTTTGTTTAGTTGAGTTTGGGTCATAGAAATTAGTTTAACCCCAAAACAATTTTTCTTCACCGAATAACGTCAACTAGAGTATTTTGTTGAGTCAATATATTCTAAATCCATTATTTAAATTATCTATCAAAAGCCATTTATTTTCATTACAACTTTATCCTTTTGGATAATACATTATTTATTCTAGGAGATTCATGGAAATTGTGGTATTTTCACAGTTGAAATTAAGAATCAGTCTTAGCTTTCCTAATATTGGAAATCTGGAAGCACCGGAGAGCCTATTCGTCTTAGTGTGGAACTCTACAGCAACTCGTATCCATGACTTTTTCACGTGGGAATCGAACTCAGGAACTTTGGCCTTGTACGTGAACTGTCTCACTCCTGACACGGTTGAACTCTACTGGTCATAACTTCACTAGAATTCCGGGATTTATAACCTAAAGATATTCACTAGTGAGCTCATAATTGTAAATGATATAGGAGATTTGTGAAGACTGTAGTAATATCACATTGGAAATCATGAATTAATCTTAGCCCAAGATCAAGGATTGATGGGAGGTAGTAGGCGTTAATACCACTAGATACCGGCTCAATGGTTTAGAGTTTAAGCCAAACAACACGATACACTTCATTTATTTTATAGTCATTCTTGATTTCTTTGCTAATTGAAAATTTAACATCATTGTCAAACAGTAAAATTAAATTCATTTATTTCTATCTCACTCTCTCTCTCTGTGTTCCTACTATTTTTGTTGTCTTTCTTAAAGCACTTTTAGACATTCCAGTTTACAATAATCGAATACATTCACTACATTTATTATTTTCTTTGTATATGGAATTTCAAAATTCTCAAGTAAGTTAAATTCAAACCAACTTTTATTTTATTTAGTGATCAGATACTTTTTTTGGTTATATCTCTCAATGAAAAAAATAAGTTTTGAGAACTAGCGTATAATGTCAATAAAAGACATCTATTCAGCCTAATATACGTTTGTTTACTCAACTTTGCATTGCTTGTTTGATAGCATTGAGGCGCCTGAAGTCATTATTCAACTATTTGAATTGCGTTAGGTAGTTAATATTGAACCGTGCTACTTGATAGTTGAAATATAAATGCTAATACTACTGAACCAGTGTTCTAAAATGATCGATTCTTTCGAGTTCCTCTATTAAACAATCAGCAGAAAGTGACATGGAATAAAATATATAGCTATCTGTCGAAGTGGCATGTATAAAGTGACACATTTGAACAGCAAACTTTAGTTACATACATATAATATAACATTGACTGTTGCTTAATGATCCAATAATACATTTTTTTAAATGATAAGTTAAGTTTCGTAATAGAGTTATAGAGATTGCTGTTTTTTCACATTGAAATCGTGAATCAATCGTTGTTAAACCACCATCAGAAACATTGGAAGCACTCGACGGCTCTTTTTGTCCTATTATGTAACTGTTTAGCAGTGCAAGACCAAAGGTCCTTGGTTCGATTTCTGCAAGCAGAATAGTGGATGTGCATTATTGAAGGGTCCCATACAAAGACGAAACGGCCGTCCAGTGCTTTCAGGTTTCTAATGGCGGTTTAACAATGAGTGATTTCAGATTTCAATGTAAGTTTTATCATAGTTTTGCTACATGAAGATATTTATGTATTGGGATCCATTGCAAACAAACTCCGAGGTATATCACTCCTATAGATTTAATTTAAAATCATTTTTCGATGTTTTGATCTGACCCCTGCTTGGTCAACGTCTAACTTATCCAGGAACCTTAATACATCAGGTCAAAAGTTTAGATTCGGCGAGTGCTCATATATGTGGCAGTGTATGTCATTGAAAGGTGTACCAAAGAAGTACATTAACCTTATACAAGCACTCTACTCGAACACCACTGGTCGGGTGAGAGCATATGGCGAACTGTCATCTGAATTCTCTACATCAAGTGGTGTCCGTCAGGGCTGTCCACTCTCTCCATTCTTGTTCAACTTTGTCGTAGACTTCCTCTTAGTGTTAACATTAAGCTCGTCAGATTTTTCAGGGGTTGACCTTCTACCAGGAAAGTCGCTTACTGATCTAGAATATGCCGATGTCATAGTTCTCTTCGGTGAAGACGCTGACAAAATGCAGAGTCTTCTGACTACCATAAGCAACAATGCGAGCATGTTCGGGATGCGGTTTTCCCCCTTGAAATGCAAAATGTTGCTTCAAGACTGGGTTGCATTGGCACCTGAACTAGTGATAGGGAGTGAAGTAGTCGAGCGTGTAGATCACTTCACTTATCTGGGGAGTCTCATCAGTGCTGACGGTCTGGTGACTGACGAAATCTCAGCTCGGATACAGAAAGCTCGATTGGCTTTTGCCAACCTGCGTCACTTATGGCGTAGGCGTGATATCCGTTCGCTAACCAAAGGGCGGGTGTACCGCGCAGCAGTTCGTTCCGTTCTATTATATGGCTGTGAAACATGGCCGTTAAGAGTAGAAGATGTTCGTAGGTTACTAGTATTCGATCATAGATGTTTAAGAAGCAGTGCTCGTATATCGTGGGACAGCCGAGTAAGCAATGCTGTCGTTAGGAAACGAGTACTAGGTAAGGATGGCAGATCAATCGATGAAGTGGTGAAACTTCATCAGTTGAGGTGGCTGGGACATGTGTTACGTATGCCTAACCACCGACTGCCTCGACGAGCTATGTTTTGTGGTGTAGGAGTAGGTTGGAAGAAAGCTAGGGGCGGCCAGACCAAAACATGGCAGAAATCCATGAAGTCCCTGACAAATGGACTGAGTCATGTTGGTAGATGTAGACTACCTGGTTGGGGTCCGCGAGACGAAAGTCATCAATGGTTAGAGACCTTGAACGACATGGCTCAAAATCGTTTGCAATGGCGCAGGTGCATCCATTCTTTGAGCTCTCTCAAATCCTAATCTTCTGGATTAGCCAGCACCTCTACCTTTTTCTTTCTAACCTTATCTCACTGAATTATATTTTTTGAATAATATCTTAAACCCTAGTCTTCTTTATTATAACATTAATACCTCTACCATCTTTATCACTATGGGATTTGATTTGACATTTGCGTCTCTGTGCTAATAATGTGGTATGGCAACATGAACTTATGTACATACGTACGAAGTTCTACGTTGCAACTGACTGACTGACTGACGGTAATCACTTGTTTTAATTATACACAATTAGCGTATACGAAATAAGCAAAACATTTGTGGTTAATTAATCGTTATTTTAATATGTACAGCTCATAATATCGGGATTAATTGAAAATATTATCAATAAAGAAAGTAATAATTTGAGTTACATTCAGTTAACATGATTATTTCTATGCATTAAAATTGTGTTCACTCACTTTCAAACGTAAACATCTGTCTTTTTTCTTTGTTGTTAATAGCATTTTCGTCAAAATGAATCTGCTGTGACCTGATGTGATTACGAAATACTATAAGTTACTATGCTTAAATATCTTTGTACCTGTGAATAATATATGAATGTAAGCTTTGTAAAGTGTATACTAATATGTCGAGCCCACAGGATTTGTCCCATACCTTTGAACAAACTGATTAAATCATTCTTTCAAGCAATTCTCACATCTATCGAAGTTGCTAATTATTCACTTATTTGTTGGTTGCTTTTATTCGAGTGTTTACCGCTTACTTCGCTTATTACATGTCTAGATTACTTTTTTTCTGACTATAAACAGTCATGCTCAACGCATTGAGTTGACTCGATTGACTTCTCCACTTCCCTTCACCTTGTTTATACACTTTTTATTCTCACGTCTCTCTGTGTGAACGATTGCTTGAAATAAATTCATCCTTAAAACCGTATTCGGCTTCTTATTACCACCGTTGCATAAACGGGGTCCACCTGAGTATGATATGCGGAAAGTGAAGGAAAGACTTAATTCATTGCAAGTATAAGCGTTCGTACAAAAATGAGTTAGATAGCGTGCCACTAAATTGATGAGCCCCTACTCCGGATCTAACGCAGCTCATAAAAGTGTTTACCAATTATTTTAAATTTTACATTGAGTACTTTCTTCTACAGTAGTATATAGTCATAATTGTGTATCGAAAATGCCTGTATTACTCATTCAATTGAAGAAAAGTATATTTTGAGATGGTGCAGAAAATTTGTTCTCTGAGCTCAGAGAACAAAACAACACCACAAAAGTATATTTATCTAAATCTGTACTGGAAGAATTTCACAGAGTAAAACAATTGTATATATTTAACATCAGTTGTAAGAGGTTATTATTTTAATACGAGAGTAGAGTTTGTGGTGATTGACGCTATGCCAGATATCGTAAGACTGTCTATCAAGCAGGCGGTAACTTTAATTCTCACTAAGTTTTTTTCAAAAATAATGTTCAGGAACCATTAGGAAAAAACAGTGGAATCGATAACTAAACACACTGTTTTAAATGATGACAAAAATCTTGACAATTTAAGGGTAAGTTTAATTCAAATCCAAAGTTAAGTAACTGAACAGTATACAAAAAAATAAGTAAACCTAACAATAGGAGAATAATCTTAGTTTAAAAATGAAACTATAAGAATTATCGCCATCAATAAGACAGACATTTTTAAAAGATTAACCACATGTAACATTCTACTTGAATACGTTTTCTTGTGAAACGATAAAGAATTGATGATTACAAAGATTTATACAAATATTCAACAATAATTGAATCAATGTTTTAACAGAAATTGGACACTGATCAACCTTTCTAGTGAAACAGAGAATGATGTAAGGAATAAAATTCCCACCGTATTATTACATCAAAACCTCCCACTTTTAATCTAACTCAAGATGAATTATATGCATTAAACATGCTACGAAATGATAAAAAAATTATTATTACCAGAGCTAATTTTAGTGTGTGAGTACTGATTTATTGGGCCCGGACCGCTTGTCCTAGCTTTCAGACAAACTAATTAACCTTTTCTAGCCGAGCTGCCATTCACACGTCTTTTGTCTTTGTCAATTATTCGCTTGTAACCGTAGTTGTTCTTACCTGAGTGTGTATGTATATTGCTTGCTTTGCTAATTACATGTCTAGCCTATTATAGCCTGACTCCAAATACTTAGTCATGCCTCGGCGCGTTGAGTTGACTCGACTGACTTTGCTTCTCTTTACTGTGCTTGGACACTTTACTCTCATAACTGTCTGCGTGGACGATTGCATCAAATAAACTCATCCGATTGAATACATATTTGGCTTCTCACTAGCGTCGTTGCACAAAAGATGTTCACCTAAGCATGATATACAGAAATTGAAGGGAAAATTTGTAGAATAGCATATATAATTGTTCGTTTAAACTGGAGTTAGACTGCTGGCCACTAAAAGATAAAGAGAACATAATTGTCATCATAAACATATTAGACTGTGAGAAAAAATCCAGAGAACAGCTCCAAGATAGCCATTGTCAACTAATTAAAGAAGCAAAACGACGGACGATACTTAGGCTCAAAGAAGGGAAATCTTACAGACAAACACAATAAAACTAGGATCGTTATCATGGTCCAGTTTATATCTAAAAATTTGTAATCCTTGTAGATTCTATGGACTACTAAAGATTCGCAAGAATAATATATCACTAAGACCAGTGGTTAACTCCGCCAGTAGAACCTTAGGGGCTACTGCCGGTCCCAAGCCTGGATAAAGGAGGAGGGTTGGACATGGGGTTGGCCACCCCATTCCGTTGAAATCTCACTTGCCAAAAAAAACGCTAACCAGAAAAAATAATTCAAACCATTTTAACTCTGCCCTGGGAGTTGGAAGAAGAATTATGACGTCTCATGATGAAAGCCGAGTTCCGTCGGAAGTCACGGGGCCGATGCCTCTTCTGACAACCAGAGCAACCATTTTTTTAGGTACATGGAACGTTCGTACATTGTGGGAAACTGGAAGACTATTTCAAGTTGCGGCAGAAATGAAAAGATACAACCTCGAGGTGCTCGGCATCAGTGAAACGCATTGGACACAGGTAGGACAACTGAGACTTGCTTCAGGGGAACTGCTGTTATACTCTGGTCATGAAGAGGAAAACGCTTCACATACACAAGGAGTTGCACTGATGTTGTCCAAACATGCACAAAAGGCACTGATAGGATGGGAATCTCATGGACCTAGGATCATCAAAGCATCCTTCAAAACAAAGAAACAGGACATTACAATGAACGTCATTCAATGTTATGCACCTACTAATGACTACAATGACGACGTTAAAGATCAATTCTACGAAAGGCTGTAGTCAATCGTCGAGAAATGTTCACCAAAGGATTTGACGATTCTTATGGGAGACCTGAATGCCAAGGTTGGAATGGACAACACTGGATATGAAGACATCATGGGACGACATGGACTGGGAGAAAGGAACGAAAACGGTGAGAGATTTGCAAACCTATGTGCCTTCAACAAACTGGTCATTGGTGGCACAATATTCCAGCACAAACGCATTCACAAAGCCACATGGATTTCACCGGACCACACTACTCAAAACCAAATTGACCATATCTGTATCAACAAAACGTTCAGAAGGACTATGGAGGATGTGATAACCAAGAGAGGAGCTGATATAGCTTCAGATCACCACTTGCTGATCGCCAAAATGAAACTGAAACTAAAGAAGCACTGGACAACAGGACAGACGACATCACACAAGTTTAATACAGCCTTTCTTCGGGATACTGTAAAGCTCAACGAATTCAGGATAGCCCTCACCAATAGGTTCCAGGCCTTTCAGGATCTACTCAATGGAGAGGAAGCAACATTGGAGAACAATTGGAAAGGGATTAAGGAGGCAATCACTTCAACATGTCAGGAGGTCCTTGGTCGCAAGAAGTACCATCACAAGGAATGGATCTCTGTTGATACTCTTGCAAAAATTGAAGAAAGGAGGAACAAGAAGGCAGCAATCAATGTCAGCCGAACAAGAGCAGAGAAAGTTAGGGCACAGGCTGCATACACAGAAGCAAACAGGGAAGTGAAGAAGAGCATCAGAGCTGACAAACGAAAATATGTGGAAGATCTAGCAATGACGGCGGAAAAGGCTGCAAGAGAAGGAAACATGAGACTATTGTACGAAACAACGAAGAAGCTCACCGGGAACTATCGTAAACCAGAACGACCAGTGAAAAGCAAGGAAGGGAAAATAATCAGCAACACTGACGAACAGCGAAATAGGTGGGTAGAACACTTTAAGGAACTTCTGAATCGACCAGCTCCACTGAACCCACCCAACATCGAAGCAGCATCTACGGACCTCCCAATTAATATTGGCGCACCTACGATTGAGGAGATCAGTATGGCCATCAGACAAATCAAGAGCGGCAAAGCAGCAGGACCAGACAACATTCCAGCAGAGGCGATGAAAGCACATGTAGAAGCAACTGCAAAAATATTTCACATCCTCTTCAAGAAGATTTGGGATGAGGAACAAGTACCATCAGATTGGAAAGAAGGATACCCCATCAAAATAACAAAGAAAGGCGATCTCAGCAAGTGTGAGAACTACAGAGGCATCACTCTTCTTTCAATACCAGGCAAAGTCTTCAACAGAGTATTGTTAAACAGGATGAAGGACTTCGTAGACGCCCAACTTCGAGATCAACAGGCCGGATTTCGTAAGCATCGATCGTGTACTGACCAAATTGCTACATTACGGATCATTGTGGAACAATCAATTGAATGGAACTCACCACTCTACATCAACTTCATCGACTACGAGAAAGCATTCGATAGCGTGGATAGGAAAACACTGTGGAGGCTTCTTCGACACTACGGTGTGCCTGAGAAAATAGTCAACATCATACGGAATTCTTATGATGGATTCAACTGCAAAATCGTGCACGGGGGTCAGCTGACAAACTCGTTTGAGGTGAAGACCGGTGTGAGGCAAGGTTGCTTACTCTCACCCTTTCTCTTTCTCCTGGTCATCGACTGGATTATGAAGACGTCGACGTCTGGAGGGAAGCACGGTATCAACTGGACAGTTAGGACGCAACTGGACGATCTGGACTTCGCAGATGACCTGGCTCTTCTATCGCACACTCAACAACAAATGCAAGAGAAGACGACCAGTGTAGCAGCAGCCTCTGCAGCAGTAGGTCTCAACATACATAAAGGAAAAAGCAAAATTCTCCGATGCAACACAACATGCACCAACCAAATCACGCTTGATGGAGATGCTTTCGAGGACGTTAACAACTTTACATATCTTGGCAGCATCATCGACGAGAAAGGTGGATCGGATGCAGATGTGAGGGCGCGGATTGGCAAAGCGAGGGTTGCATTTCTACAGTTGAAAAATATCTGGAACTCCAAACAACTTTCAACCAAAACCAAAATCAGGATTTTCAATACAAATGTCAAGACAGTTCTACTGTATGGAGCGGAAACATGGAGAACTACCAAAGCCATCATCCAGAAGATACAAGTATTTATGAACAGTTGTCTACGCAAAATACTTCGTATTCGTTGGCCAGACACCATCAGCAACAACGAACTGTGGGAGAGAACAAGTCAGATTCCAGTGGAGGAGGAAATCAGTAAGAAGCGGTGGAAGTGGATAGGACACACACTACGAAAAGCACCGAACTGCGTCACGAGACAAGCCCTCACATGGAACCCTCAAGGCAAAAGGAAAAGAGCAAGGCCAAGGAACACACTACGCCGAGAAATAGAGAAAGATATGAGAAGAATGAACAAACATTGGACAGAACTGGAGAGAGAAGCCCAGGACAGAGCTGGTTGGAGAAAACTGGTGAGCGGCCTATGCTCCATTGGGGGTAACAGGCTTAAGTAAGTAAGTAAGTAAGACCAGTGGTTGATTTTACGAATTCGATGACATAAACTAACGAAGTAGATAGCGATGATACTCAAACCGTATGACAAATCGGTTATTAATGGAATTAAACACTCCATTGAATTCAAGAGTAATATTGATATCGTTTACATAGATGATGAAATGATGGCAAGTTTTGATGTTACTTCGCCATCTACAAATGCAGTTATCAGCAGAGCATAAGATGTTACGCATGATTATTTAGTATCTGAATTTACGATGCCCTCTCTGAGATTTCGAATAATGTTAGCGATTAGCCTTATTCCTAATCCGATACCTGTACAGACAAAAATGGGTTCACCAGTTTCTCCGACCGTACCGAAAATATTCATGAATTTTTTAGAAACTGATACGATCACAACAAGCGTAAATCCACCTGAGTAGTGGTTACAGTATGTAGGTGACAGGTTTGTCATCATTACATTGTATGATTAAGCAGAGGTATCCGGAGATGTAAATAACTTATCGGAAAGCACTATGATAACTGAAGATAAAAAAATTCGACCATAATCTAGCGTTTCTTGGTTGCGTAGTCGAAAGAAGACAATAATATGTTAAACAATTAATGTGTTTCGGAAATTAGAACATTCTGATACTCAGATTAAAGTTCGGCTAATGCTTAATGTACGACAGTCACCGTACTAAAAAACAGAATTAACAAGAACAACAATTTCATTACAGAGAAGGAAGACTAATAGAATGAGTTGAATTTTATCCGCACTCAACGCCAACAATTACCCTTAAGAGTTTCTAGAGATTACTAAAATTTAAAGAAAAACTAAATAAGAATGTACACCGATAGAATGTCAGAAAATAATTGTCATCCCATACCGTACCTAAACACTTGAAGAAAATAAAAGGATTCTAAACAAACACACAGTGTTTGAAACACTTTCTCAGAACTTCGGCTAATCTGAAGAAACTGGAAATCGCGCTACCCGCGTTAGAAACAGGACACAAGATCATATTTGATGGGACTAAAATAATTCAGAAAGGGTTTATAGCACACAAGGAAAGATTGACAGCAGAAGCGATGAACATATGGGCTAATCAGAATAGCCTAAACAGAAAAGATGGTATTCAACTAGTCACCACATAGCAAATGATCGTTCGCAAGTAATTGGACCTCGTCACCTTTAATGTTTCATCAAACGGTAATACATACACACATTCAAACTTTAAAAAAATTTACAATTGTACTTTTATTGTTTACGTTTAATAAACAGTTACTTAAAATTCATTTACCGGATGTCAATTATTGATAACACAATAATTTATTTTTTTTACATTGTGGATTTTACTTTGATGTCTGAATATAATTGGATAAACATTTAATGAAAAATTGATTTAACTGTTAAACATTATACACTCGTTGATAACTTTGTTTATCATTATCTTGAAGAAGTTCAGACAGTATGGTTGGACAAAATATTGAAATTATCTAAAATTTCAATATTGATATATGACTCCCAAGATAGTAGCTATTATGAAAGCGAGTTCTGAACGCACTCCACGGCAACTTGACAGCTGTTAAATCCGTGTCAAGATAATGACAATAATTCTTATACCAAAACAAAATGGTGAAAAATAATTCAGGACACTTTCTTTAGCTGAAAATGTGCTCATTCAATCAGACAGACAGACAGATACAAAACAGAACTTCGTACGTGTGTACATCAGTTCAGGTTGCTATACCGCATTAGCACAGAGAGGCAACTGTCAGTTCAAATCCAATAGCGGTAGCGACAGTAGAAGTATTAGCAGCAATGGAGAAGATTAGGGTATAATTCAGTCAATCAAGCGAATTTTTAAAAACTAGTAGTTACTACATCAAACTGACATTCACCAAACAATATTCGACATCTGTTTGTCTTTACCTAGGAATTCAGAGGGGATTGAAAATTGCAACTCAATGAGTAGTAGTGCACTGTTTACAATACTATCCGATTTTTATTGATAATAATTATTTGTAAAGTAATTAGATATTTAAGAATTTATCATCATCATAGCTTGTATAGTATCATCCCCGAAATAAACTTTTCAAGTACAACATGGTTGACACAATTAGTGTATACAAACATACATTAACTATTAGATATAAATAATACTTTATAAGAAAATAGAAATTCTTTCAAAGAAAATTTTCAACCAATATTTACAATCATTTTCAAGCAAAATGGTATACATACATATATCCGTCCTTTAAAAGCAATTTCAAACATCAATTATGAACAATAGACATTTTTTGTTTACTATGACAGAACTGAATAATTTATGAAAATGCAAATGAATCTTTTTCTTCATTTAAAAGGAGAAACTAGTTATAGAGAAACAAAACAAAACCATATTATGAAAATTATGAAACAATAAACAAAGAAACTCAAAGAAATATATCGATCCAAATGAATGTGACTTTAGTTCTTTAAGCATTAACCCTAATATCACCACCACCAGCTCCATCTTCTTCTTTATCGTCGTCGTCTTCTTCTTCTTCTTCAATGAGTTCTTTCAATTTTATGGCATAATTTAAAAATAATTCCGATAATTGTATAGCTAATTCTGATATACCAGGAACATTTTCTAAATTAGTTAAAATAGCTACATTAATTGGAGGAATGGTTGCTGCTTTCAATCGATTATCTTCTGTGGGATAGATTTTTTGAATTGATAAGAAAGAATTACTCTCTTTGGCAGTAATAGTGTTTGCTTGATTTGTCTTACTGGGAACATGATCATTATGAATATTATTTAACAAGGGAAGACTAAGCAGGAGAACAGTGGTCCCGCCCACTGCACCACCTGTATGTAATGCATATAATCGATCTGGATGGCCATTTTCTTCAGTTGCTGGATCACCTGAACGCCTGAAAGGAAAAAGTGAATACATTTAATACTTATATATATACAACAATAAGGAATAGAAGAGTTATTAGTACTAGTTATGTGTAGAGCGCTAATTTATCCATAAGAAAAGTTGCTTGAATCCTAGTCTAACCACTTATCATGGTTTAAATAAACAATTATTTCTATTAACTAGTACTAATATTAAGCATAAACTTATCGCTAAATGTATTATGTTAAAGATAATTTCTCATAGTTATTTAGTGGCCAGCGATCTGACTCCAATTTACACGAACGATTGAATATGCTGTGAAACAAATCTTCCTTTCAATTTCCGTATAGCCCGCTTAAGTGAACCACGTTTGTGCAACGGTGGTAATAAGCCTAATACGGATTCAGTTGGATGAGTTTCGTCTCAAGAAATCGTTTGCGCAGGCAGACATAAGAATACAAAGCGTGGGAGCAAAGTGAATAGAAGTGGGGAAGGTGAGTGAGCCAACTCAATGCAACGAAGCATGACTAAATATTTATTGTCATAAAAAAATTAAGCTACACATGTCGTAAGTGAAGGAGGCGGAAAACACTCGAATAAAAACAATCAAGATATAAGCGGATGATTGACAAGGTCGAAAGACGAGTGAATAATATATATCGGGTAAATAAGGTATGTCTATTTCTGTAAAAGGAAAACCAAGCTCACTAGACAAACAGATAAATTTTATTGACATTTTTTACATGTAGTATGAAAGATGTATGAATAACTTTACTGGTGATTTTCATAAACACAAAACAATATGTTTATTCAATTTAATGATCATGATGAAAAAAACTGTATCTCGATGAAATAATCAAACACGAATGCAAATAATGTGGATTAATTCAAATTTACTCATTACTATGATAAAAAAATAATATCAAAAATAACTTAAAATAAAAATAATTTCTACATGTAAACAATACAAGGTAATGAGAAAAATGAGCAAAAAATTTGTAATGAAACTTCACCTGGCTAAAAACCAACCTAAACCAGGTAATGTGCCTCGATCTGGTGGTACACAAGAAACTTTCCATAATAATTGATTTAAAGTAGATTGTTTAACAATCCCATATGAATCAAGCCAACCCATATAAATAAATGCTAAATGATCAGCTAAACAAATTAAATCACTAGCTGTAGAAAGAATACCACCACCAGCCCATTTATATGAATTATCAATTGTTGGAGTGTTCACAAGTAGACCTTTATTTGAACGACAATACTGACTTGGAGAAGATAATTTAGAAGAAAACAAAAGTAGAGAAAAGATAAAATAACCATAGAAAGTTGAATAAATTAACAATTTATCTTCATTGGCAATAATGAGAATAGAATGTTGCTCAATAATTTGCATTATTTCATGGGAAAATCTCTATCCATATATATACACACACACACACCTATGAAAGTAACAGAGGTTAAAATAAATTTCAGTGAATTCTTTCAAAATGTTGTTGAGATTGTTCAAGACAACAAAATTTGATAATACACTACTTATCTTTGGGTGCAATTTTATAAATGAAGCATGTTTTAAGGAAATTCACTTTATTCCTCAAAAAATTTCTTCACATCATGTTTGTGAAGGATACTTAATTTATCACTAACTTGTTTATATTTAGCATCCAATTCAGATGCCATAGAATGCATTGAATCATAAAACTTCATAAATAAATATTGAATCCAGCATTTGAGTGTTATTTTCATAGAATATATCGACTCATTAGTGTTTTTAAAGCTTTATTGTAACTGACATTCAAATTTCTACTTCACTGTGTTTCCGCTTGCGTAGATGTTAGTGTGATAAATTAGACCGCTAAGCATTTGTATCAAGATTCTATATCTTTTATGTTTGGCTATCGGACTAGTTTCTGACCTCTGTCAATGATATCAAATTGACAAACATTGCATATTATATTCGTTCGTTTGAAAGATTAAAAAAAAAGTGTTTTTCAAAAAGCATTTTACATCAATAAACTAAAGTTTAGAACTTACGCAGCTCTTGAAGAAATTATCTTCTCTGGATATTCTAAATAGGTATGATTCAAATTGAGATATTGAAAAAGTCTTAACAGATTTTTATCAAATCTTGCCCATTTTGGTAAATTATTTTTAGGTTCTTTTCCTTCATTACAAGATGACTTTAATTCACCTTTAACAGTTGGCAATGGTTGATCGAATAAACTACCTTTCATTAAACAAATTTTTTCAATAACTGCTGACAGTAATGTGAATGCAAATGTACTATAGGTGTATTCAATACCAGGTGCATGAAGTAATGCATCATTTTTAAACATATCACAAGCAGTTAATGTATCGTTAAAACGAACAGTATTCAACATTTCTGGATATGACTAAAAAATATAATCAATTAAAAATAAACATAAACATTTGAATGAGAGAATAACACAATCAATATTTATTAATGCGTATTAGAGACTTTGAATGACATAGCTCGAAATCGTTTGCGATGGCACAGATGCATTCATTCCTTGTCTTCTCTCAAAACCTCATGAACTCAGTACCCTTTTTTCGCTTTTTAAATTTATTTCACTGGATTATCAGTCAGTCAGATGCAACGTAGAACTTCGTTCGTAAGCACATCAGTTCATGTCGCCATACCACATCAGTACAGATATGTAAGTAATTGTCAATTCAAATCCAACAGTAGAAGAGTTATTAAGGGTATCAGAAGTAATCGGAGAGGTTAGGATTAGAAGATACTATTCAAGAAGTATGATTAAATGAGAAAAGTTTAGAAAGTCAAAACTAGAGGGGTTGAAGAATCCAGAAGATTAGGATTTCAGAGAACACAAAGAATAAATGCACCGGCGCCATTGCGAACGATTTTGAGTCATGTCATTCAAGGTATCTAACCATCGATTATTATCATCTCCCGGACCCCAACCAGGTAGTCGACAGTTACCGACATGGCTCAGTCCACTAGTCAATGACTTCATGGATTTCTGCCATGTTTTGGTTTGGCCGCCCCTAACTTTCTTCCAACCTATTCCTACACTACAAAACAAAGCTCGACGAGGCAGTCGGTGGTTGGGCATACGCAACACATGTCGCAACCACATCAACTGATGAAGTTTCAGCACTTCATCTATTGATCTGCCATTCTTACCTAGCACTCGTGTCCTAATAACAGTGTTGCTCACTCGGGTGTCCCACGATATACGAGCAATGCTTCGAAGACACTTCACTGGATTATACTTCTTTCATTATATCTTCCAACCCTAATCTTTTCTATTACCGTTAGTATTTCTACTACCTCTACTACTATGGGGAAAAGCAAGATTATCCGATACAACACGATATGCACCAACCAAATCACACTTGACGCTGGAGGTTTGGAAACGTTTACATATCTGGACAGCATCATCGACGAGCAAGGTGGATCTGATGCAAATGTGAAGCGGCGGATCGGCAAAGCGAGGGCAGCATTGATACAATTGAAGAACATATGAAACTCAAAATAACTATCAACCAACACTAGTTACAATTTTCAATACAGATGTCGAGACAGTCCCACTGTATGGCAAGGAAACTCATAGAACCACGAAAGCCATCTTCCACAAGATACAGGTGTTTATTGACAATTTCCAGCACAAGATACTGAGGATCTGTTGGCCAGACGCCATCACCAACAACCTACTGAAGAGAGAACAAACCAGATTCCAGTGGAGGAAGAAATGAAGAAGCGCTTAAACGCCTTATCGGATGCAAACACAGATTTGCCGCTTTGACTCTTTCATTACATAGTAAATTAACTAGTTGTACGACTGTTCCATTATTAAAGTTATACATCTAAACATACAAATACAATTACTCCTTCCATAAATGAAAATGAATTGTTAAGTTTGGAAATTGTAAACGACGATAGACATAAGGCAAGTATGTAATTTGAAAATCAGCAATAAAAACTTCATTTCAATGTGAACATACGAGACTGTTTCGATCAATAATTTAATGGCATGAACGTGCTGATTTCAAAACTAACGGTAATACAATTTACTCTTAGACGATACATTTTTGGTTGCATTTGGTTAATTATCTGACTCATATATGCAATTAACAGAAGCTAAATATTGGATTTTCTTTTCAGTATACAATGAAGAAATTCATTTTTATTAATTATTTAAATCTTCCTATTGATATTGAGGATTGTAATTGATCCATCAAATTAGTGTGTGTGTGTGTGTGTGAGTAAATTTCATTAGTGCTAGGCGAGTTTAAGTGTACAATGAATGCTAAAATAAAAATACTAATTTAAAATGAGAATCATTAAGTAATTCAACTTGAAAATAACATATTTTTAAGACATTCATGATCACGCCGAAAATATATCATATACATAAATAAATTGCAATAGCAAATATACTCACTGATTGTTTATTTTCATCTGAACTTTTTTTATAACTACGAATACCACTGGTATGATTGAGCAATGATCGAACAGTTATTTTTGCCTAATTTCAAAATTATAAAATAAACAGGTAACTGGATATTTTTCTTGACTGCTTAACATTTTAAAACATTTTATTGCTAAAGAGGATTTTTATAACGGAGCTAAACCATATATAGCAGAAATTTGGATTGTGAAACTTCAATTGAATGCACGAATACACCAGTCCCATTTTTGGAAGTTTACTTGATGTTAGATCCCTAGACATCGCATGATAAATATCTTTATTTTGGATTTATTTCATGGACCGGTCAGTTGACCTTGAGATTACATTTCCCACCAGAAAAATCTTTGGCTGTGATTGGTTGCTGTGTCATTTTAGTGTGCTATTTTTCTGACTGTCCCAAGGACGTCTCTATAGAGTATCTTGGATTCATTGTGCTGGCTGGGCGTTTGTAGAATACACTTCCTATTCTATCTGAAGACCTCTTGCTGGACCTGAATTAAAAAAAGACCATCTATAACATACATCCCATAAATTACACTCGAAGCAATACCCTATGATTACATTGTCATATAGTTCATGAGTAACATGCTTGAGCGTATAATCCAGTTCACTTAGTTTCCTCAGCTTTAGTAAGTTTACATTCTGAGGCAGGGGTTTTTTTTATAACATGTTACTCATGTGTTGTCTGTTCATTTATCAAGAGGATGGACAAATTGACTGCCAAAGCACTATGCATTAATTACTGTCGTGGAAACTATCAAACAAAATCAGAAGAAACATGTGTTTAAATATAGATGTAGGATCATTGCTGCTGGGCAATGAAAGTATGATGCTAACACCGGCAATATAATATAATCAATTCAAAGAATCACAAAGCTTTTCAAGCTGTGTATGGAGGTGTACGTTTCTTGATTGGAATATTCGAAGCAATTAGATATGATGGTTGAGAACCTCTTGAGAATCAATTCGAAACCCGACACAGTACTGGATGTATCAACTCCACATCATTTAAATACTAGTCATCTTATTACTCTAGATATTTTATTACATATTATCACTTGCTTTTTTATAACAGTCAGTCAGTTACAACGTAGAACTTCGTATGTACGTACATCAGTTCAGGTTGTCATACCACATTAGCACAGAGATGGGATTGAGAAGCCAAATCCCATAATAGTATTGGATGTAGTAGAAATATTAGTAGTTATAAATCAGTGCAAAAAAGACGCATTTTTGTATAATAAATGTTGAATTATCATTTTCATCAATCTTTATTACCTTACATTGATGTCATTTCATTACAGTGCTGTGAATTGCGGCAGCTTGGATAATATATATATATATATATATATATATATATATATATTGTTGACTTTCCAGTATTAGATGTAGATATTTCTTAAATAGACTAATATATGAAGAATATGCATGATAAAATTAAAATTCTATGTTAGTTACACTTAGATAATAAAAATATTTAAGTTATATTTACGTACGTATGTTTTACCGACTATTTTCTCCGGAAACTCAGGTAAATAGGCTCGGATATCTTCGTCAAGATCTAACTTGTGTTGATCAAATAATCTTCCAACCAATAATGAGGTAAACGGCTTACTAATACTCGCTATTCGAAAAACTGTATTTTCATTTACTGGCACCATATGCTCAACATTGGCATATCCAACACCTGAGAGAAAGTACACATATATCAGATTATTTAAAACTGCACTTAAAATACGATTTCAATAAACAGTAACTGTATGCAACACTACTTCGTGATAACATTCACTTATTACTAACCTTCTTGATATATAATCTTCCCTGATAATGAAACACAAACAGATATACCAGGACAACCAACCTTTTCCTAAGGTATAGAATGTTCAATAGATTGTAAGTACAACTTACTTTAAACATGTACACCATATTTTGTGCACGACAAACGTATTCTTTAATATGAGATGAATTCTGTTGAAGATAGTGATATCTACGTGGCCTATGTTTTTTTGATGATTCATCGATTGTCAATGATAGTTGAGATGCTAAAACTGTCCGAATCAAGCCACTGCGAATTTTCATAATTTAGACTTCTAAATATTTTTTGGCGCAATAATTACTTTTCAAACAGGAACCGGAATTTAAAGAGGATTATTATTTAGTTTCCCTACAACAAAGACAAAAACATATTACTGCATGAGAGTAGAATTATTCTTGTGTTTTTATGACGCTGATACATAATATCAATTCAAAACATATCTATGCAGTTTTATGATAAATTCTATATAAAAAAATTACCATTGAAGACTGATCGAATTTCTGGATGTAGTTGAGGTTGTGAATAGTACCCATTAACCCACCAAAGTCTTTTGTATCTGTGAAGTTGCGCCATAAGATTAAGCTGTACTGTTTGGGTTGTAAAGAGCCTTAAAACGAAAGTCAGACTACACTCTTGCATGATGTACTGTCGATTTTTAAATTTTCGTACTAATGTATTCTATATTTTCTCTCCATCTAGAACTGACTCTGTGCGAGTTCAGAAACTGAAACCAAATTATTCACGTCTGTAGTTTTGCTTCTTGTGTCGAGTCGGGAATCACTATGATTCTCTACTACAACACACAGTATGAACACCTTTTGATTTGATCTTCTCAGAACTCCAAATATAGAGGATTAACATAGGTCACTTGAACTCTAACGTTTGTCTGCAAAAACTGAAATAGTTGTACTTAGTAGTACGCCTAAAGGCAACACTATCAAGCGTTTAATTAGTACTCAAGTGATTGTGGTAGTTAGTTGATGGTCTTTGATTGTACGCGGTCTAGCATACTTTGGATTTCGGAGGGCTCATGGACATTATATGAATCATCAGTTGAAGATTTCCAATGGGAAGACATACAGCATCACAGCATATATATAAGTCATTTGCCATGTAAAAGAGGATTTTATTAGAACCCACAAGGTGTTGCTTAGGCTTACTAATACTTTTTACGATACATATTCATCATTTACCTGTGTTTAAAGAAAGTAAGTTATAATCACCTTTTCAGATATCCTAATAAGGAAGCTTTGAAGGATAAAAGCGTCCAAGGGTCACATTTATTTATAAATCTTCAGGTGGTTCGTATATAACACAAACCTAGGATGTCAGATAGTTTTAATCATAGAAAACAACCAGGATCTAACCCAATATGAAATCCTACTACATACGTGAACGTTTTTGGTAGTTTCTCTCAGAAGTAAGCAAATAAAAATTTACTTTTTCACCTTTCTTCTAAAGAACATCATCACGGAGAAGTGAACTATCCAAATTCCACAAACATAACTGACATCTAATCCCGTCGATCTGGGTTAGTTTAAGGATAGCAAGAACCATTTAAGGCTAAGGATCAAGAGGTGTCAAAAAACCGAAGTTTCATTTCAAAACATACATTCACAGGATTGGTTTTTGCTAGAAACAGTCCTTCCACCTACCTGTATTATTTCCCAGCTTTCAGTATTTATTGTAACTCAGTATCCATAAAGCGCGCTACTTTTAACGAATATATCTGTAACGCATTCGAAACCTAACTCTATCAACTCCTAGCTTCGTTTATCAGTTTGTCTTAATCTCACGGTGGCTTTGTATCTGGTTGTTGTCTATTTATGCGTACATTGCATGCAAGTGCATTCTATGTGCTTACTGGGTCGTCGGCTCATCGTTTTTCGCTTGTTCTTTCTCCTTCCAGATAATCTCATACGCTGCTCCTCACATCCCCCTTAGCACACAAGGTGCCTCCTGGATAGACTCAAACTCACCAAAGGCTGAAGTTACATCTCTAATATCCAATATCTTTTTCACGAACTTACATAAACCGATTGATTTCTTTATGCTCGATTCTTGTTCTTTCGGTACGGTTTCAGGTGTTTGGTAGTGTCCTATTAATGGAAGTTTGGCTATTCGACTGTCTAATTTCTGTCAGTTGGCAGTTGATTGTGAGTTTGCATGTCCTTTGATTTGAATGAATACGTTTGATTAGGGCAGCAGGGTTTCTTTATAGCAACAGCTATCAAATTACCAGATTAGAAATCAGGTAGTTGTAATGTGGTGAATAAAAAGGAGAAAATTCTAATAAGAGGATTTACGGACTAAATAGTATATAGGTAATTTAGTTAATTAATTGGTAGGGCAGATTGTGTGAGAGGAAGTGTAATCAAGGGAGAGGAAACAGAGGTAATAAGCGAGATAGATTAAGTTACTGATCTTAGGAGATGGCAGTGATAACAACTAGGAGGTCTCAAGGCATGTATCAAGCACATCTTTTCCACGGCGGAGATGACAATCCATATGTGAGTCCTTTATTATCAAGTCTCTTCTTAAAGCTGTCCATTGAGGGGCTGTGTTCACCTCGGCTGGGAGAGCATTTCAAGTTGCGACGACTCTCAATGAGGAAAAGTGTGCACGAACCAGAGAACTCTCACATTGATGTGGTCGTAATGCATCGGTAAGATGCTCACGTCGGATGGTTTGGCATGCTTAATATGTTGTACGCCATAGTCAGATCACCTTTGATCCTCCTGTAACTCCCAAGTGCTGGAGTCTATCTTCGCACCGGTATTTTTCGGTCCAAGCACGATGTCAAACTGTCCCATGCTATGAGAAGATGAGATGCGCGCGACATGCCTTTCCGAAACCCGTGTTCAGTTTCACGGAGTATTTTATTCTTATCCATATACTCCTTCATTTGTTCGTTCACCAGACTTTCCATAACCTTTGATAGTATTTGTAGTAATGCGGCTGGTCTGTAACAGGCTGGGTACTTTCTATCTCCTCCTTTAAAGATTGGAGATAGAGTAGCTTGTTTCCATTCAGCTAGGAGTTGGTGTGAATCCACTGAATGCCTGAACAGGTCACATATCTTTGAACAGAGGGCTTATGCATATTGTTTCAAGACTATGGGGCGAATATTGGCACAGCCTGGTGACTTTCCTGGGCTTAATGATTTTAGTTTCCTTAGTACTAAATCAGGATTGATATGGGTATTCCCTAAGCCGTCATCTGGCACTGGGTTTGCGTAGTTTTCTGAACATGTGGTTGCCTGCACCAAATCTATTTAAAAACCAACTGCTATTTCGTAAAATCCAAAGTGACGACTGTTATTCGTACTTTAATTGGATATTTCATTTTTATTTCACGCCAATAAATGCTTTTTTCTCGTAAAATTTGTTGGTGTGTACAGCTTAATGTTTTTTGAGAATAAATTAACGTTATTATTGATGCAACACTTTACATTCAACACTTTCAGCTTTTTCAGATTTAAAATTACTTAACTTAAGCAGGAACATTATCATTTATAGCAAGCTGAGGTATCCTCAGGTATTTTCTCGACTGATTGCTAGAATTGCCATGAGATAGCTTCAAAATGTCCGAGAATCGTTGCGCTAATCTATATCGATTCAGGTTGATTGTTATTATGTTGTCATTTGGCCACAAATTACAGGCATGGCAGTGCACAGCTTTGTATCTGATAATCTTTTGTTTAGGAATCGTTTTTTTATTGTGATCAGTGGTCAGATTGGAAGAAAAGCGCGACAGTCACCATTAGTAAGGAAGCTGAACGCAATTTAAAGAAATCTTATTGTGATTAGGATCACGAATCTGTGTAGGTCCGTACGGATTACAATAATCCTCACGAATGATTATCTTATTCGCAAACGAACGAAGACAGCTTTGTGAAGGGACTCAAATGTAACCAAATAGTTAAGTTTACTTATGCAATATATTAGGGACAATATTTTACATTCTTTAAACTCCAATAATGAAACGTTAAATTCAGCAGCTAACTTAAGCGAAAACTGTTACAAGATAATAGCAGATTTGCAAGGTTAGTGCATAATGTATATAATACTGCCGAACTGTTGAGGTAAAAATAATTATATGCAGCATAGTGTGATGCTTAGAAGTATATGAATCAAGAATTAAAGATCTGCACAAACGAATGTATTGTATTTAGAATTCGAAATCAAGCATTCAACAACAACAAGAAGTTACTAGTTCATTCAAACACCACATCCGCCACAGCTTAAATTGGAATGTATATGTCTGTAATCAGTGGTACGTCTTCTTGTCAAATTCATCCTGTGTCTGTCCGACAGTGTATTGGATAAAGACTCTGTATTATCTAGAATGATCTCATTAGTATTAGAATTAACAACCGGAATTGGAACAGACTCACCTGGTTCCTGGAATTGTATTTGATCAACATGTCGATTGTATGTACTTAAGTCATTGATATCTAGAAGTCGCACCATAGATTTCCCGACATTCTTCAGAACAATCCCCGTGTATGGTCGAAGTTCATTGCCACGATAATATGTAACTTCTGCAGACTCCAAACATCTCATATTCGACCGAAGAATTCTTCCTTTTAATAGTTTTGATGGAGTCTCTTTCGTCACTGAATGTCTGGCATTTCTATATTGCAGTAGAAAGGTATCTACTCCCCTCTCCAGCTCATTAAATGTTGAGGCGGCAATAGAATCAATAGCAGTTTTCATACCTCCACTGCACTTAGCACACGTGGCTATGGAATCTTTAAGTAAAGCATCAGAATTTTCTTTAGAAACTAGGAGAGACAACTCCACTCTAAGCCTTTTCAAATTCTTTAAACCCAGTATTGACAGTCCTGTTTCACTAACTAAGAATTCACATGGTATGTATGAGGAATTATCATCCCTTATTAGCAATTCACAACATCCTCGTATAGGCAGTTTGTGTCCAGTAATCCCCAATATTTATACTTCAGTGGGTCGTATCACAACGTTCGGATCTAACGATTTCAGGTTCTTGAATGAAATAATGGATTCTATACTACCTGTGTCCACAATAAAGTCATGAAATGAACCAAGCGATGTATATAGTCGCTTTTGAATATGAGCATTACCTTTCGAAATGGTAGACAAAGATAAATGATCATTAGGATCAGCTGAATTATTGGAATCTAAATTACAAGCTTTAGTACTACTTGAGGCAAAATGAACAGTAGCTTTGCATACTGCTTGAATGTGTCCTATCTTACCACATCTAAAACATTTAGCATTACGAAATGTACAACAATAACGAGAATGAACTTTTCCACATGATAAACATTTGCCAAACTTGGTCTCACCTTTTTGATTTCCTTTGTAATTCTTTTTTGAGACACCGTTCATTTTTACACGAGAATAGGAACCTCTGTTAAACGAACACAATTTTGATTGACCCTGAGATTGCTTTTCATCATGACAACTAATCAAAGTATTGGAAATCTTCATCGACTGAATATCAAGTTCATTCAACGCCTCGTAGTTAATGCACGCAGTTCTAACATCTTGAAAGGAACAGTTTGACATTCTTAACAGCTCTCTTTCCAAACTAGGTATGTTAATTCCTGCAATTAATCGGTCTCTCAGCTGCACATGAAGTTGATCACCAAAATTACATTTGACAGCCTGTTTCTGCAATTCAAGAATGAATTCCTTAACATTTTGGTCATTTTGACGAATCATCTTATGAAATTTCGCTCTTTCACGGCATTCAAAACCAGGGCACTTTACGTGATTCAATAATAACTCCTTTAGCATTGCATAGGGAAGTGAAATAGGTTTTTCTGGATATGCCAAGGTTTTTAATAAGCTGTACGCTTCTTTTCCGATGAATGTTAGGAAATGAGCCACAATTTTATCATCTTTGACATCTTTCCTGGTCATACTCCAGATTTCAAACCTTTCCAAATAATCTTCAAAAGCTTCAGGAGTAGAATGAATATCTAGCTGTTCCATTACAAGTTCCATCGCGACGCCACTGTGATGCCTAGAAGTATATGAATCAAGAATGAAAGATCTGCACAAACGAATGTATTGTATTTAGAATTCGAAATCAAGCATTCCACAACAACAAGAAGTTACTAGTTCATTCAAACACCACACATAGTCTAGATAGTGTTAAGCAGTATGTACGAAATCAAAAACGAATGAATTTATGGTACTGAAATCTCATACTGATCAGTCTTTGACAACCACTAAAAATCCAAATCCAATGGACAACCTTTTTTCCCTAATGTGCGGATCACTAGTCGTGCACCTCCCAGACTCATAAGAAGGAAATATTAACCTGGACTGTCAATTTGGAGATCATGATCATTGAGCCGAGTTTCAGCGGTGTTAATTTCCAATTTCAATCAATCCTACACACGGCACGTTCACAATCCATTACCTCAGGCGGATAACTGTTCACTAGTCGTGGCTTCTCAATGGGACTCCGAGAAATTTTCCTGCGGTCAGGTATTAATGATCACATGATGATAGTCGCTAAAGGATTGTGCAGATTTCAGGGCATATAACTTCAATGGAAATCAACAATGTTTTCAACCCCGTACTTAAATAAATTATGCAATCGTCTCAGTTTTGACCGAATTTTACACAACTTTAAATCTCCAACTTAACAATCAATAGTCATATCGAATGTTAATCATACACAGTTATATTACTGCTCCAATTATGCATTCGATGGAGAAAAAGAC